CCCACCCACACACACACACACACACACATACACACTCTGATGTGTGCGCTGGTTCTCCTCAGGCAAGCAACACGGAGCCGGAGAGAAGAAGAGCAGCGGTGTGGATCTGTGCAGGAGGAGTCTGCCGATGAAAGGTTGGAGTGTGTTTGTGTTTGGCCACGTTTCATTTGAAACCTGTGTCTGAAACCTGAGAAACACTGCAGACAAAACAGAGGCAGGGCTGCGATTTTAATCATTACACCCTGTCTCTCAGACGCCTCTGTCTCTCAGACGCCTCTGTCTCTCAAACGTCTCTGTCTCTCAGACGCCTCTGTCTCTCAGACGTCTCTGTCTCTCAGACGTCTCTGTCTCTCAGACGTCTCTGTCTCTCAGACTCTCAGACGTCTCTGTCTCTCAGACGTCTCTGTCTCTCAGACGTCTCTGTCTCTCAGACGTCTCTGTCTCTCAGACGTCTCTGTCTCTCAGTATGCGTCCCGTCAGCCGTATCCCACAATTCCACCAAAATAAGCAGCCTTACTTTTGAATGTTTTTTTTAGTGTTATAGAATTTATTATTGGTCTCTCAGACGCCTCTGTCTCTCAGACGTCTCTGTCTCTCAGACGCCTCTGTCTCTCAGACGTCTCTGTCTCTCAGACGCCTCTGTCTCTCAGACGTCTCTGTCTCTCAGTATGCGTCCCGTCAGCCCTATCCCACAATTCCACCAAAATAAGCAGCCTGACTTTTGAATGTTTTTTTTAGTGTTATAGAATTTATTATTATTATTATGATATAAATTCATATAATTATAGTATTTATCAATATTTTAAATTAGCTTTTATTTTTATATTATCAGTTTTTGAAAATAATTTTAGTTTAAGTTTTAGTAACTTTATTGTGCTTTTGTTTTTTTAGTTTTTTTTCATATTTCTGCTTGGCCTTTAATTTATTTTTAGTATTGTAATTTAGTAATACATTTAGAAACATTTATTTTTAGTAAATTTTAGTACTTAATTTTTTAAAATATATTATTCATATTTTATGTCATCTTTATTTTACTTTCGTAAAATGATTTTTAATACTTTTGAGTACTCTTAACTTATTTTATTTCAGTTATTTGCCAAGGCAACATTTCTAATTTGTAAGTTTATTTAGTTTAAGTTTTTTTAAATATAATATTTTTATGTCAGCTTTATATCAATTAAGGAAAATTATTTTTAATACTTAGTTTTAGTAAGTTTAGTACTTCAACTTATTTTATTTCAGTTATTTGCCAAGGTAACGTTTAAAATTTTTACGTTTAATTTTCAAGTTTTTAGTCATCTAATATTTATATTTTATGTCAGCTTTATATTAGATAAGGAAAATAATATTTAGTTTTAGCTTTAGTAAGTTTAATACTTTATCTTAATGTATTTCAGTTGTTTGCCAAGGCAACATCTCTAATTTTTAAAGTTTTAAGTTTACGTTTTTCATTTAATAGTTATATTTTATGTCAGGTTTACGTAAAGAAATTTCTATTTGTACTTTTTTAGTACTGCATTTAATTTGATCTGAATATTTTTTACATGAATGCAGTAAAAATTATAGTAGTAGAGTAATGAGAGTCTAATGAGAATCATTATTGAGGATAATTACAATAAAAAAATTTATAAAAATATTAAATCAAATGGATTACAGTAATAAGAAATTTGGGGAAAATGTGCTTAATTATTATAAAAAATATGCTGTTAATGAAAAAAAAGTGAAATGTTAGTTTTCTTGGGTATCATGTAGTCTATTGAGAATCATCACTGAAGATAATTTAAAAAATAATAAATTAAAAATTAAAAGCAATGCATTATAGTAATAAATACTACAAGTGTGTTTAATTGTTATAAAAAATAACAATGCAATGCAAAAAAAAAAAAATTGAGTCCTTAAATATTTGTAATTTTCTGTAATAAATAATTATTATTTTGTCTTATGATTTTAAAGGGTTTCATGGATAATTAATGTTAAGAAAAAAAATTAATACAGTAATAAGAACTTGGGGAAAATTTGCTTAATTGTTATAAAAAATAACGCAATGCAATGGAGACCAAAAAACTTAACAGTCCTAAAAATAGTCTTCATTTTCTTTATGCAGTATGCTTTATTTTCTTATGGTTTTGGAGTGAAATGTGAGTTTTTATGAGTTTAAGATGCTGTGCGTTTCTCAGTATGACCTGCACATGTTTATTTGAGGAGGATGGTCTGATGATCTGCTAGCAGGAGGATCATTAGATGTGTGTTTGACTCACTGATGTGAATGAAGAATTGCTGCAGTAACAGAGAGAGACACTGTTAGTATGAAAGGCACGTTCTGATATATAAAATCCCTAAAGCCTCACGTGATCGTCGTCTCTGCTTTTCAGCCGGGATCAGACTTTCTGAATCTGGTTTGACTGTAGAGGATCAATTACAGAATCTTGAATCTTTTGGTTCAGGTGTGACTGTAGATCTGTTATTCAGTGCTGTTTACCAACTCCAGCATCACCAGCACTAGTGCTCAGAGTGATCTGAACAAACCTCTGCATTAAATATTAAACTTGTCCCGCAGTGCTCAAGAAATCCTCTCAGAACATCAGTAAAAGCCTGTCGACCAGCGCTCACGTGTTCTTAAAATAATGCAGAACTCTAGTTCTGACGGGATTTGGTCTTCACGTCACACATTCCCGTTTCACATGTATTTTAGATGATTGCATGAAGTCTCTCATGCATGATTCATGCTAATGGATCTGTCTCTGCAGGCCTGGAGCTTCTGTACCAGCCGGAGGTGGTCCGACTCTACCTGTCGCTCCTCAAACTGAGTCAGAATCACAACACGCTGGAGGCGGCGGCTGGAGCCCTGCAGAACCTGTCAGCTGGACACTGGGCCGTGAGTCACACCAAACACTGACCGTCTGTGACTGACCAACTGTGACTGACCGTTTGTAACTGACCGTCTGGAACTGAACATTTGTAACTGACCGTCTGTAACTGACTGTCTGCGGCTGACCATCTGCGACTGACCGTCTGTGATTGACCGTCTGTAACAGTCCATCTGCGACTGACCATCTGTGACTGACCGTCTGTAACAGTCCATCTGCGACTGACCGTCTGTGACTGACCGTCTCTAACTGTCCATCTGTGACTGACCGTCTGTGACTGACCGTCTGTGACTGACCAACTGTGACTGACCATTTGTAACTGACCGTCTGGAACTGAACATTTGTAACTGACTGTCTGTAAATGACCATCTGTGACTGACCATCTGTGACTGACTGTCTGTAAATGACCGTCTGCGACTGACCATCTGGAACTGACCGTCTGTGATTGACCAACTGTGACTGACCATTTGTAACTGACCATCTGTGACTGACCATCTGTGACTGACTGTCTGTAAATGACCATCTGTTACTGACCATCTGTAACTGTCCATCTGTGACTGACCGTCTGCGACTGACCATCTGGAACTGACCGTCTGTGACTGACCATCTGCAACTCACCATCTGCGACTGTCTTCAACTGTCCATCTGTGCCTGACCTGACCATCTGCGACTGACCATCTGGATTTGTCCATCTGTGACTGACTGTAAATTACCATCTGTAACTGAGCATCTGCGACTGACAGTCTATAACTTACCGTTTGCGACTGACCGTCTGTAACTGACCATCTGTAACTGAACATACTGTATGTAACTGACTGTCTGCAACTGACCATCTGCGACTGGCCGCCTGGAACTGACCGTCTGTAGCTGACATTCTTCAACTTACCATCTGTGACTGAATGTCTTCAACTGACCATCTGGAACTGACCGTCTGTAGCTGACATTCTTCAACTTACCATCTGTGACTGAATGTCTTCAACTGACCATCTGGAACTGACCGTCTGTAGCTGACATTCTTCAACTTACCATCTGTGACTGAATGTCTTCAACTGACCATCTGGAACTGACCGTCTGTAGCTGACATTCTTCAACTTACCATCTGTGACTGAATGTCTTCAACTGACCATCTGGAACTGACCGTCTGTAGCTGACATTCTTCAACTTACCATCTGTGACTGAATGTCTTCAACTGACCATCTGGAACTGACCGTCTGTAGCTGACATTCTTCAACTTACCATCTGTGACTGAATGTCTTCAACTGACCATCTGGAACTGACCGTCTGTAGCTGACATTCTTCAACTTACCATCTGTGACTGAATGTCTTCAACTGACCATCTGGAACTGACCGTCTGTAGCTGACATTCTTCAACTTACCATCTGTGACTGAATGTCTTCAACTGACCATCTGGAACTGACCGTCTGTAGCTGACATTCTTCAACTTACCATCTGTGACTGAATGTCTTCAACTGACCATCTGGAACTGACCGTCTGTAGCTGACATTCTTCAACTTACCATCTGTGACTGAATGTCTTCAACTGACCATCTGGAACTGACCGTCTGTAGCTGACATTCTTCAACTTACCATCTGTGACTGAATGTCTTCAACTGACCATCTGGAACTGACCGTCTGTAGCTGACATTCTTCAACTTACCATCTGTGACTGAATGTCTTCAACTGACCATCTGGAACTGACCGTCTGTAGCTGACATTCTTCAACTTACCATCTGTGACTGAATGTCTTCAACTGACCATCTGGAACTGACCGTCTGTAGCTGACATTCTTCAACTTACCATCTGTGACTGAATGTCTTCAACTGACCATCTGGAACTGACCGTCTGTAGCTGACATTCTTCAACTTACCATCTGTGACTGAATGTCTTCAACTGACCATCTGGAACTGACCGTCTGTAGCTGACATTCTTCAACTTACCATCTGTGACTGAATGTCTTCAACTGACCATCTGGAACTGACCGTCTGTAGCTGACATTCTTCAACTTACCATCTGTGACTGAATGTCTTCAACTGACCATCTGGAACTGACCGTCTGTAGCTGACATTCTTCAACTTACCATCTGTGACTGAATGTCTTCAACTGACCATCTGGAACTGACCGTCTGTAGCTGACATTCTTCAACTTACCATCTGTGACTGAATGTCTTCAACTGACCATCTGGAACTGACCGTCTGTAGCTGACATTCTTCAACTTACCATCTGTGACTGAATGTCTTCAACTGACCATCTGGAACTGACCGTCTGTAGCTGACATTCTTCAACTTACCATCTGTGACTGAATGTCTTCAACTGACCATCTGGAACTGACCGTCTGTAGCTGACATTCTTCAACTTACCATCTGTGACTGAATGTCTTCAACTGACCATCTGGAACTGACCGTCTGTAGCTGACATTCTTCAACTTACCATCTGTGACTGAATGTCTTCAACTGACCATCTGGAACTGACCGTCTGTGACTGACCAACTGTGACTGACCATTTGTAACTGACCGTCTGCGACTGACCATCTGTGACTGACTGTCTGTAAATGACCGTCTGCGACTGACCATCTGGAACTGACCGTCTGTGACTGACCATCTGCAACTCACCATCTGCGACTGTCTTCAACTGTCCATCTGTGCCTGACCTGACCATCTGCGACTGACCATCTGGATTTGTCCATCTGTGACTGACTGTAAATTACCATCTGTAACTGAGCATCTGCGACTGACAGTCTATAACTTACCGTTTGCGACTGACTGTCTGCAACTGACCATCTGCGACTGGCCGCCTGGAACTGACCGTCTGTAGCTGACATTCTTCAACTTACCATCTGTGACTGAATGTCTTCAACTGACCATCTGTGACTGACCCTCTGCAACTGACCGTCTGCAACTGACTGTCTGTGACTGACCGCCTGTAGCTGACATTATTCAACTGACCATCTGTGACTGACCCTCTGCAACTGACCGTCTGGAACCGACCGTCTGTAGCTGACATTATTCAACTGACCATCTGTGACTGACCCTCTGCAACTGACTGTCTGTGACTGACCGCCTGGAACTGACCGTCTGTAGCTGACATTATTCAACTGACCATCTGTGACTGACCGTCTGGAACTGAACATTTGTAACTGACCATCTGCGACTGACCGTCTGTAGCTGACATTCTTCAACTTACCATCTGTGACTGAATGTCTTCAACTGACCATCTGTGACTGAATGTTTCAATTGACCGTCTGGAACTGACATTCTTCAACTGACCATCTGGAACTGAACATTTGTAATTGACCATCTGCGACTGACTGCCTGGAACTGACCATCTGTAGCTGACACTCTTCAACTGACCGTCTGGAACTGAACATTTGTAACTGACCATCTGCGACTAACTGCCTGGAACTGACCATCTGTAGCTGACATTCTTCAACTGACCGTCTGCAACTGACCATCTGGAACTGAACATTTGTAACTGACCATCTGCGACTGACTGTCTGTGACTGACCGTCTGTAGCTGACATTCTTCAACTTACCATCTGTGACTGAATGTCTTCAACTGACCATCTGTGACTGACCCTCTGCAACTGATCATCTTCAACTGACTGTCTGCGACTGACTGTCTGTGACTGACCGTCTTCAGCTGACCATTTGGACAACTTTAAAGATGATTTTCTCAATATTTTGATTTTTTTGCTCCCTCAGATTCCAGATTTTCAAATAGTTGTATCTCAGCCAAATATTGTCCGATCCTAACAAACCATACATCAATGGAAAGCTTATTTACTCATGTAATGTTATTATGTATAATTATTATGTTATTATGACTGGTTTTGTGGTCCAGGGTCACATACAGTATTGGCCTAAATTCAAAATTTAAGTATTTTTATTCATACAAAATTTTTATGTATTTAAATTGCATATAAAATTCCCATGCATTTGGATTACACAGTTTTAACATTAACATTATGTTTTGTGGAAATCGGACCTGTTTCATTTATCTGTGATCTATGAAAAATATGCAGCACATTAAGTTTATTAGTATGTTTAACTTAATACTGTGTAATTTAAATGCATGGACATTTTATATGCAATTCAAATATATAAATCCTAAATTTAGGCCTAATATTTTTTTTCTGTATCATTACAGTATTAATGATTTAAGAGAAAACATTAAAAACTTAAAAAAGACTTATAGTGTGACTGAGTATGTTTTACTCTTCAGAGTAACAAGTGAAACTATCTGTTCAAAACACAAACTTAAAATGACAATACAGAGCAGAAAAGCATGAATCAAAGCTTCTTAATTAAACTTCCTCTTCGTTTTCTCAGTGGTCCAATTATATCCGAGCAACGGTGCGTAAGGAGAAGGGTCTGCCAGTGCTGGTGGAGCTTCTGCACTCGGGTGCGGATAAAGTGGTGCGAGCGATCGCCATTGCGCTCAGAAACCTTGCCATCGACCACAAGAACAAAGATCTCATCGGTAAGATCCAGAGCAGCTGCTTTACTCTGATGCTCTCCATGTGATGCTGAGGCTGACGGTCTCTCTGCTGCCCGGTCAGGGAGTTACGCCATGAGGGATCTGGTCAGTAACCTGACCTGCGGCCAGCAGCGACCCGCCAAGAACCTGGAGGGAGACACGGTGGTGGCTGTCCTGAACACTATACTGGAGATCGTCTCTGAGAACCTGGAGAACGCCAGATTCCTCATCCAGGGACAGGGAATCCAGAAACTGGTCTCAATCAGCAGAACCAGGTGTCAAATCGCACAAAACGCCCTATGCCATAGCAACGTGGTAAAATCCACTCAGAACACCTTAGCAAACCCATAGCAACCACCCCAAACGCCCTATGCCATAGCAACATGCTAAAATCAACTCTCAACACCTTAGCAAACCCATAGCAACCACCCAAAACACCCTATGCTATAGCAACGTGGTAAAATCCACTCAGAACACCTTAGCAAACCCATAGCAACCACCCAAAACACCCTATGCTATAGCAACGTGGTAAAATCCACTCAGAACACCTTAGCAAACCCATAGCAACCACCCAAAACACCCTATGCTATAGCAACGTGGTAAAATCCACTCAGAACACCTTAGCAAACCCATAGCAACCACCCAAAACACCTTATGCCATAGCAATGAGGTAAAACCGACTCAGAACACCTTAGCAACCACCCAAAACGCCCTATGCCATAGCAACGTGGTAAAATCCACTCAGAACACCTTAGCAACCACCCAAAACACCCTATGCTATAGCAACGTGGTAAAATCCACTCAGAACACCTTAGCAAACCCAGAGCAAGCACCCAAAACACCCTATGCTATAGCAACGTAGTAAAATCCACTCAGAACACCTTAGCAAAACTATAGCAACCACCCAAAACACCCTATGCCATAGCAATGTGGTAAAACCCACTCAGAACACCTTAGCAACCACCCAAAACACCCTATGCCATAGCAATGTGGTAAAACCCACTCAGAACACCTTAGCAACCACCCAAAACACCCTATGCCATAGCAATGTGGTAAAACCCACTCAGAACACCTTAGCAACCACCCAAAACACCCTATGCCATAGCAATGTGGTAAAACCCACTCAGAACACCTTAGCAACCACCCAAAACACCCTATGCCATAGCAATGTGGTAAAACCCACTCAGAACACCTTAGCAACCACCCAAAACACACTATACCATAGCAACGTGGTAAAATCCACTCAGAACACCTTAGCAACCACCCAAAACACCCTATGCTATAGCAACGTGGTAAAACCCACTCAGAACACCTTAGCAACCACCCAAAGTACCCTATGCTATAGGAACGTGGTAAAATCCACTCTGAACACTTTAGCAAACCCATAGCAACCACCCAAAACACCCTATGCTATAGCAACGTGGTAAAATCGTGGTAAAATCCACTCAGAACACCTTAGCAACCACCCAAAACACCCTATGCTATAGCAACGTGGTAAAACCCACTCAGAACACCTTAGCAACCACCCAAAGTACCCTATGCTATAGGAACGTGGTAAAATCCACTCTGAACACTTTAGCAAACCCATAGCAACCACCCAAAACACCCTATGCCATAGTGATGTGGTAAAACCCACTCAGAACACCTTAGCAACCACCCAAAACACCCTATGCTATAGCAACGTGGTAAAATCCACTCAGAACACCTTAGCAAACCCATAGCAACCACCCAAAACACCCTATGCTTTAGCAACATGGTGAAATCCACTCAGAACACCTTAGCAACAACCCAAAACACCCTATGCTATAGCGATGTGGTAAAACCCACTCAGAACACCATAGCAACCACCCAAAACACCCTATGCCATAGCGATGTGGTAAAACCCACTCAGAACACCTTAGCAACCACCCAAAACACCCTATGCCATAGCGATGTCGTAAAACCCACTCAGAACACCTTAGCAACCACCCAAAACACCCTATGCTGTAGCAATGTGGTAAAATCCACTCAGAACACCTTAGCAACCACCCAAAACACCCTATGCCATAGCGATGTGGTAAAATCTACTCAGAACACCTTAGCAACCACCCAAAACACCCTATGCTTTAGCAACATGGTGAAATCCACTCAGAACACCTTAGCAACAACCCAAAACACCCTATGCTATAGCGATGTGGTAAAACCCACTCAGAACCCCATAGCAACCACCCAAATCAAACCCGCTCAGAACACCATAGCAACCACCCAAAACACCCTATGCCATAGCGATGTGGTAAAACCCACTCAGAACACCTTAGCAACCACCCAAAACACCCTATGCTATAGCAACTTTGTAAA